TTCCACGATTTTTGTCCATGATTGTAAGTTAAAAACCATCGCCACTGGTTGCTTGATGACTAAACACTGTTTACACGAACCGTGACTCATCCACATTCTAACATAATACAACTTAGAATTTACTGACCTAGTACTAGCTTTAAGACTCTCGTGTAAACCTCGATTCAGCTAAAACACAGGTCCAACTTGTCCTTCATTTAGTGAGGGTGTTTCCTTTTTTTTTTTACTGCGCACAGATTCTGGACATTGCCAGTTTCCCCGCTACCGACTACGAAGAAACTTGTCTTTGCCTTTTTTTTGGCAATTTTATAGAATCATGTGAACCATTCTCGTCCAAATAGCCCATTTAGCATGCTTTACCCTACGTTATTGTCTTTTTTTAACCGTAGGCGGCATGCCTTTGGTTATGTAACTCCTGTAAATCTACAGGCTAAACAAAATAAACTACATCTAAAAAGCCTAGAAAACCCGGGTTTCCTGAGGAGCCATCAGAACGTGTGTGCACCAACAAAAAAAGGCACCGTCCTGAAATAATCGCCTCTCGAAGGACCAAGCTTAATTATGAGTTCAAACAGCGTTCTAGACTTAGGCGCACAAAATAAGTAAGCTTTATTCGCCAGAAGACTGCAGAAACTCTCGGATTAAAGGGAAGGATGGGTCACTATTATCAAAACGGGAAGCGAGGAAGATAAGAGGGGTACAAAGTTGGGCTAATATGCTCTGATAACAACAAGCGTTTTACTCTCAAGGCAATGGGCATTGACAGTATCAGCGACGAGAAGAAATGACAGCTATAAATTCTTGATCACTTTAGAATCAGCAATAACACTCTGACCTTAATATGTTGGCATACTCAAGCCAGTACTCGGCCTCTCGTCCGTGATTGGACAGTATCACATTGTCCCAAAGTCTCTGACATTCTGATATATTATTTGTGTGAAATGCCTGCCAATTGCAACAAAAGAACTCAGTAAGAATATGACAATATGTGAAAAGGATTTCTATGACCCCTTTGGTTCATTTGCAAATTTTTAGGGAACACATGATTGTATAAACTGAACGTCCTCTCAACTATCAAAATAATGTAGCAATGACTTGTTTTGTTTCACTTTTACCTTTTCTGTGAAAAAAACCTGGTCGCTCTTTCCTACAGACATTTACTTATGATATAATTAAACTGACTTACTCATGAGATATATGTTTGCGGGTTCTAATTTTGGCGGTTTTTTTCCATGATCCCCAAAAAAAGTTCCCGCAAAAAATTCCGCCGCAAAACTTTTTTTCCATTGGCGAAGTTACACATATAGACATCACAAGTAGAATCTTGCTGCTGCCATTTGATTTAAACGTCTCTTTTGTTCAGAAATAAAATGTTCGCTTAGTGTCACACGGTAGCGTGGGGGCAGGTTGCCCGGAAGTGAATGGACCATTTTCGTATTCTCAGTAATTAATTGGAACATACAATGTTGTCCCATGCGGGGGAGGTTCGACTGCATTGGGCAATGGAATTTGGATATCTACTAATCGTTATTTAACTGTACCTAACCTTTACCCCACTGCATTGTATTTTGTCACAACACAGTGGTTCTC